GTGTCTTGTGCCTAATCCAACATGCGAATTCAAAGCAAGAATGCGAGGTTTGTGTCGGCGCACTGCATCATGCAACCGCCCATGACAACAGAGTTAGTGGTTACCGGAATGCCACCTAAAATCCCCTGGACGGTTTTCGCCAGAAGCACTATTCTACAGCTGAGAGATGCTTATTCGAGCAAGGTGCGAATAGGAGATTGGATGTCAGTTGTACACACGGTTCTAAACAGGCTGTGGACAGTGTAGAGGAAAAAAGGGAACTCTTCAAGAGGGCCAACTAGCGGGTTAGAATAGCCCTATCAGACTGCAGTTACCGTCACGCATTCTGCACCATTTTGTCAGGCTCGCATTTGGTTTCCTAACGAAGGTAATTAGTAATTTGCCAATCGCCTTCACACCAACCAACGACTGGACGTGGCAGTCAATTAGTGCCGCTGTAACGGTGATACTACTGATGGGGAGGCACGCGAGTAGTATGTTTTCTTCTTGCAAATTCGCTTTGCGTCTCTTGAAGAGTGGGATTCATTGCGGAATTTGCGGAGGCGCTTTGTAGCATTTGCTTGCAATTGAGCAACAGTCAATGAATATCCAGGAAAGTTCAGAAAGATGGGTTCAAGAGTGGATGTTCAGTTTTTTGTAAATAAACGCAAATGAGAGTCTTACTTCCTTGTCTGACAGTCTGTAACTGGTCAGTTGGCGTATTCCGCAGCGAAGGCCTTCTTCCTTTCACCACAACGGTAGCCATTCGTTTCAGATTGTATGAACTTATTGCTCTATGTAAGTCATGCTCGCCTCTTCATCTTACAGAATTAGGGTGTCATATGTCCTATCACTTTTGGTTTCTTCTGACTCCAGTGTATCACTGCTCCATTAAGCATGGAATTCCATGTTTTCTCCACGGCGGTCCGAAAGTTGGCTGGGCTTGTCCTTCTTTAACCAAGCGCCTCAGAACTTTTGCAGCGGCCCACCCAGCTGACGTGAGCATGGCTCGGAACATATAGCCCCCCTGAACAGGTCTCGGGACAGGTATATTTGTCCGAATTTGTTCTAAATGAGTAGTTTCAGTTCATCTGGGTTGGCCACAACTCACCCGTATCCAATGCAAAACAAGACCCTGATCGTGACGGTGGCCGGTTTCACAGGTGTTCCTCCAAACTACCAATCAGGACTTCTGCGCAAGGTTCCTGATCATCCTAAGCAGGTTGCTTCCAAATGCTTGTTACCATATGGAAAAACGGAATTGCGGCACTGAGGGTATCAGTGTTTGTTTAGACATAAAAGAAAGGAATAGAAATGTATTTTACCTTTTAAATTTACATATTTTTCAGATTACAGAAACCGCTAATCTGAGCCTACTTGGAGTTGATGCAGTCAGCTCTAATGTAGCCACTCGGAAGACCGACCATTATAACACAAAGACGGAAAGAACTCTGTGAACTATCAACTGCAGAACTGGTAGTGTGCTATCACCATCTACTTTGTACCACTCATTACATGATGCTTAACGTTTTGTTTACCAAGTTTGAAAGGCTGGCTTCACTATCATCTCAGTACTGTGCGAAACTAAACAGTACCATATTTTTTTCTTTTTGGCTGTCGGTTTTTGTTACACTCGTCTTTGAAATTTTCAGGTGAGATCAAAAGGTCAGTATATCGCAGAAAATACGGGATTTATTTTTGATGTTGTAGCAGAATGCGCTTAGTTAACAGCCTCATAATAGACGCAAAATTTAATTGGGTAAACAAACGTAGCTTATTGAAGAAAGGATAACAAAATGTTTAATATTGGTAGCCACATACAGGAGGTTTTGTTAACAAGTGTATGCGTTATTTCTGTTTACTATAAATGTCAGTACGCGCACTGAAATTATGAAACTCAATTATTCTCTTGGTGAAAGCACCACCGCTGCACTTCGGGGTTACAAGACCAAACATGTTCTCGACAAATATCCTTTCACCGTGTCGACCAGTACACGCTTGATTGCGAAATTTGAGTCCACTGGATCTGTACTGGATTTTTCTGGCAAAGGGAGAAAGTCTCTGAGTGATGAAAGAGCGCCCATGGTACAGGATGCCGTCGAGCAAATTCAGTCCCAGAGCACCATGGCATCTTCGTCAATAACTCAGGTGTCTCAGTTGAGCATTAGTCGCCGCGCCAGCGTTCATGGTATTATGGGACGCCACCTTCATCTCTACCCCTATCATTTTACTTTATTACGAAACGTCACGGAAGAATTTGGTGGAGTTAAGAGCAAGAATTGAAGAAGAGTGTGCACGAGTGACGCTTAGAGAAGTTGAACATGCTGTGCCTCATATCGCATACCGCCTCCAACTTGTTATAGGAGAAAGTGGCGGTTTTTTTTCAACATCTTTTATAATGCCAGTTGTTCACAGTAAACCTCCATGTTGTATGTATGTCCACATAAAAATGATAAATGTTTAAATCGGTGTCAAAGTTTAACGTGCGTATTATTTTTTGCGTTCATTGAAAACTTGTGCACAGGAATTGGGTAAGAAAACACGTAACTCAGGCAGATTTGTTGGACCGTGCTTACTGCCAGAAGACACAGTCGACCGTGACTTGTCCTCGCAGGTGAAGACCAAAAGAAAATATATCTGACAGGTTCAGTATCGGCATACTAGGCCAAGTAGGAATTCCATTAATCGACCCAGTCGTTTGGACTCTGAAGACTAGTTATGTCGTACAAACAACCAAGAGGAAAGCAACCAGAACGGGAAAAATGTTCGAATTCAGAACCAAGCAGAGCAAAATAACTAAGATTCAGTATCGAAAACCTCATTATTGTAGTTCACAATAAGTCAGAAGAACACGTAAGTACGGACACGGGTGTATTGAGTACACGCGGTCAAACTGGTCCGCTTTTGTGGCAGGTATCCAAAACAACTGAGTCACATATCCAGTCAACCCACACCGCTCACGCGAGCCAACCAATCGGACACGCATCCAAACAGCCACTCAAGTCACAAGCCAGATCGATAGTTGAACGACAAACGGACACGCACACGCGCAAACTTTCTGACACACCGAAGCAGCTACTACACTCATGAAAATCGACCAAACTGAAACGAGAAAATAAGCTCCTGGTAGACAATGAACCAGTCAGGAAAACAAAATTAAACGAATGATAAGCAAGAGTAGACAATCAAATAACTGAATGGCAGGAAAGCCAACCGCAACGCAATTCAAACCACGAAAAGACCAATCAGATTTAAGGGAACGCATCACGTGACTTTCACCAAAACTAAATGAACCCTTCAGGCTTTTGAAAACTCAATAATATTGAGACCTACAGATGGTCTTTGCAGACCACATGAGTGAAACTTGTGGAAAGAAGCTACTCATCGAAGCGTGCACTGATAGAGTACACTGACTTACACTTTTACATGTCAGCTGCAAAGATCGATAAACTGGGAAACACCTGTTTGACGAGGCTGTAAAAATCTACCAACTGGCGGAAATGTGGGATGCCACCCGGTCACTCTAGAATAGGTTGGATTGTCTTCTTGGAGGAATTGATGATCATCATGCAGGGATCAGGCTCCCTAGTCTGCGTACTCAGGAAACGTGGAAAATATGACGGCGTTACCTTTTACGGGGCGAGAGTGAACTGAGCGAATCTTTTGCGAATGGAAACGTGGAGGGTTATCCGGTAATTTCGGGGGGGAGGAGAGAGTATTCCCCCCATCAAAGAGCACAAATGTCAGTAACTTGCGATAAAATACCGGTGTAACGGTGATACTGCTGATGGGGGACATGGGAGTAGTATGTTTTCTCGTAAATCCGATTTGCCTCTCTTGAAAAGTGAGTTCCACTACGGAATTTGTGGAGCGCATTTGCTTGCAACTGAGTGACAGTCAATGAATATCCAGGAAAGTTCAGGAAGACGCGTTCAAGGGGAAGATGGATATTCAGTTTTGTAATCAAGATGCATACGAGAGTTTTGCTTTCCTGTTCCAATAGTCGTAACTGTTCAGCTCTCCAAGAAAAAAACTCCGCAGCAAAGACTTTCTTCCTTTGACCGAAACGACCATTCCGTATCTTTAGGATGTTTCAAAATAATTTTGATCACGGAGACCTAGGTCCTTCTCATGAAAGCATCAGAAACAGTTGCTTCACTAAGTATTCAGAGCTGAAAAAATATGAGTCGAGTGCTCCATATGCGCACGCCGCTCTGAGTTTATTACCAAAGTCCTGAGTACGCAAGGCCCAGTCAAGTTATTCTTACTTCCCACAGGGGAAAAGAAATTGAGAGGTTCGTGGGGGCATTCGCAGTCCGCGATTATGAGGTATCCATCAGACTTTGAAGCAGCTCCCGGGGCACACAAATCAATAAAGGTCACTACCCGGGACTGGAAAGGACAAATGTCACTCTAGTATCGACCAGATTACGACGGCATGGGACACCAGGCTCAAAGGTCACGTGGGCATCGGCGAATGGGGACACAGGACAACGGAACAACCAATGAAATCGCCTGACCGAACAACTAATCGCGATCAAAGGTCATCCCCTGCTAGCAGTACGTATATTAACACACACACAACACTGCCCAACGCACCAACCCACCGCTACGCACTACTACGCTCCACAATAACGCATTGATGATGTCACCTCGGTTGGTGATGAAACGTTTGCAATCAAATTGCCCAGCTCAGCGAACAAGCCAACGACCACCATCTACGCTACGTGAGCTACCAACATTTTCCTCTACAGAGAACTTAACAGCGCCTATGTATCAGTGAAGTTTTAAGTAAACAAGTCTGCCGGTGTATTTCGACCCATCTACGCACGTGAGCTACCAACATTTTCCTCTACAGAGAACTTAACAGCGCCTATGTATCAGTGAAGTTTTAAGTAAACAAGTCTGCCGGTGTATTTCGACAAGTTTCTTACTTAAGATTCGTAACGGAGGTAACATGCGGGAAATTGTGAAGAAACATCCGGAGTTCAAGCCATCCGGAGCGAAGGAATAGAGAAGATATGACCAAAAAGGACCAGATAGTTCAAAATATAGATTTGCGATATATTTCGGCCCATTCACACGCTGGACAACGAAGTAATTCGCCCAATCATTTGTCTGGGAATTCGTGTTGAAATGCATATCGTTTTTGATCAATGTAATAAATGAGAGAAGTTCTCAAGTTGTTTGGTCATTCACGTCCAAGAAACGGGGCATTTTACGAGCCCAACCTTGATGGAATTGCATTTCACATGTTTCAGAAATTTGATTGTCAGTTTGTTAGAAATGTGTGCAAATGTTCTAACAGCTTCGCAAGGATGCTGTTTCAAATCGAAACTTATGGTTTGTTTATGCGTTTTGTCGTCGCAATCATCAGCCGCCCGACCAACTGCAGGGCGCGGAATACAACACAGACAGTATGTGCAATTTTAGTACGATCATTCGTGTTAGGCCTGACAATGAGTCTCCCGCCGAATCTCAATTCATCAACCTTTATCGTTGATTAAACGATGTTCGGCTCAATGTTCTGACTCAACTCCGGTCGAATGAAGTTTGCTCTAGAAGACTCCACTTATACACCCTCCGTCTTCCTGCTAAATCCTCGTAGCTCCAAACTTCGATCCAACCACTAAAAGAGCTGGCTTATGATTTCACATGATTCACGTCTTTATGCCACGCAAGCTGATGAGCTGTAGAGCTTAGTTGAAACAAAACGTCATTTGGCAAAGGAGAGCACACAGCTAAGATTACGTGAATTTTCTTGCACCGGATAGACTGGTAAACGATAGCCTGATTTCTATGCCTATATTTCTGCAGACACATTCAGATCTGGTCGTTGGCTTTTATCGCAATTTTATCGCAAACGTTTCATTACCAGTCGAGTTGACGTCATCAGTGAGCTATTGAGGAGCATTCCAGATAATACGAGGACCTCCTCAAGACTTCACTGAAAGTTCAATACAAGGCACATTTTACATCGATCAGTTCATCAACTTCTAATATTGATGAAGTCAGGATTATTCGCGAAATTGGTACCAAGAAAATAACACGACATAGCCTCCACAGTTGTCCTTCTATGCTCGGGCTGCTACAACCCGGAGAGCTTATAAGTCATCAGTAGTGTTGCCTGGTTATTTCTTCTCTAGTCACGGGGTTCTGACATCCGAAACGAAACCCTAGTTCGCAGGAAGGATAAGGTTCCAGAATGAAGCCAAAAGTTTGATTGAGTCAGAGAGTCTGAGCACGCGCGCCACAGGCCAGATGGCTCCTTCGAGTCACCCGAAATATTTCTATCCGTTTCCTGCATATATGTTCCCGATGCGCAGGTTAACAGGCTTGTCAGTGAACGTCTTCTCACCGTCCTCAAATTGCCTGACATCGCAGCAGCTGCGTCATGTTTGCAGGCCAAAGATATTTACCCTCTACCTCTCCGAAAGGAGAGCACCAAGATGATGCAAACAAAGAATCCATGGTCTCTAAGAGTTCCTTAACCGTGGACCTCATGGGACTGTTTGAGTTCCGAAGGCGAATTTCGATGTGCGGATATCCACAGACAATTTTAGGGGGTATACACAGTAAAAAAGAGCGAGTTTCAATCAGAGTAGGTAGACGATTTAGAATTGTCTCGTTTTTACTGTTCATGGATTTTAATCATTGCCGCACACGTTCCGTTTGAGTAGCACGTCGCATTGGTAAGGTGACAAGACGTGGTGATCTACAAAAAAACTTTTGCTGGGCAACCTGGTGGCATAATTTCAAAAGAAACAAGGCAAGGGCGAGGGGAAAGCATGAAAATATCAAACAAAAAACGAAAGGGAAAAGTAGATGACCAGGGAAGAAAGTGGCGCTTGTTTGGAGGTGCTTACCATTGAATTTCTCTCAGTCGCAGTAGAGCAACAAATCTGGACGACCCTTGAGGACTGGGAATTCCTGGGGATCCGAATCAAGATTACCATGGATGCAATCGACTCCTGCATTGTAGTTTGTCTACCTAAATTTTAACTGGACCAACAAAACAACTTTCTCACGGACGGTCACGTTATATGAGATGTACTGAGCTAGAATATTTGTGCTTTCTATCTACCCAGGACGTCATTACGTTTCAGTCTAGGCCATCTATTTAGCGGAGTATGCCTATCTGTATTCGGCCATTGGGTGTTGAATTGTCAGCGAGTCGGTGGGATTGACCAAGTCTGAGTATCGATGAGACTGTCTGAGATGACTAAGAACAACGTGGTCTAGTTTCAGAACTCCGTGTTCTGCCGAGATGATCGCGTACCACACCAAAGAATTGAGTAGTAAAGTTGGGAACCATATCTCGATTTCATGAGAACAGAGGAGCTGCCTCCCATTCCTACTTGAGAAAAACATTCATCAGTCTCATGTGCACAACCCACAGGGATGGGTTGAATAGCAACGCGTGACGTGTATTCAACAACGTCTATGGGTGAGACTCTCTTGTCCACGTAAGGTCCATGAACAAATTCACAAGAGAAAAGTCATCTCCCTCAAGTTTGATGATCTGGAACATGAAACGGAACGCAGAGGAAGGTCGGCCAAGCTAAAAGCAAGGAAACCAGAGTGAGTTGGATAGACCTCAGAGGATTTCGAAGGAGGTTAAATTCCGACAAATAAAACCCGTGGTAGGTTTCAGCTGGTACGTTTTCAGGTGAGTAAAAAATGAACTTTCGCTTTGTTATTGAAGGGTACCTCAAAACATTGGGATGATGACCATATACTAGGATGTGGTCACTCATAACGGGAGAGTTATTTATTCTGACGGAGCGCTTACGTGAATTTTGGACAACACGTGCAGGGAAACGATGAATATTAGTGAAGTACGTGACACCACTCAAGGTGGAGCAGCGTGTATGACTGTAGTTTTATTAATGAATGCCATACCGATTGCAATCAAATTCTGAATGCATTATGCTAACACGAGAGCCACAATTGCGCATCCCTTCGGAAACGTATCTCATCTGTCATTCGGCTTACCAGCTAGCCAGTCACACGTAATTTTCTAGAAGTCTCGTTTGGTTGTGTCCACTTCAATTGTGCACCCTTTTCAGGTCAAACGTGTTGTTATGGGGCCATCTTGGTCCAGGAGTGTGGGACTACCTGTAGTGATCCCTAACGCGATCGTTCTTTGTCCGAGTCTTTGGATAACTAAACACGAAGAATGGATTTCGATAGACTGCTGATGTTCGGTATTTAGCAATCACTCTCTCCCCAAGCCAACTGGTATACTGTCAGAAACCTAGATTCATTCCTTTGAGGTTTGCTGTTTGACTCAGAATGAAGGTCATATAAGCTGTTTCACTTTGGGTATGTGCTATAGAAACGTCCGATCCAATTTCCTTCCAAGTAAGTTTAACTTTTCCGGACAAGTTCCGCCTACCACTGCTCCATTTTGTACGGTTACCGCCAGTCTGAGACCAGCAACCAAGTAAAAGGCAAGATATCAACTGCTCGGGCTGCGTTTGAAAGCAAAGCTTCCTAGAATTTTGATTGGTTGCTCGAGTGAACAGGGATGCAACGCCTTGATATCAACTCAGCACTGACAAGTCAAGAAATTCTCACCCTGTTTTCTACTCTTCAGCGTAGCTCAGTAGTTAATGAGTGGAATTACTGCCAAAAGAGTTCGCTGTGCTAACACAACTCCGACATCTCGCCTGCTCCTTTTTACTCTTGAGCGACTTGACAGAATCTAAGCCTTCGTGCTTCCTTCGAGTGGCGAGACAGCTGGAACCGAATGTGGTTGCAGATGGAAGTCGATCACAAACCATCATCATCGTCATCATCATCACCATCCAACCAGCATCATCGTCATCATCATCACCATCACCATCATCAACCCTGGTGACATGGGTAAATCAAAGGAAGGTAAGGCAGTCGAATAAAATGACGCGCGGTATCTTCTTCGAGCCATAGGACTCCCGAACAAAGGTGATTCCAAAGCCCATGGAAGCACATCCAGTCTAGTACGCTTTGTTCCAGAGTCGCCATTGAAGGCGAGATCAAATGAAGGTGACAGTAATTGTATAATGTTCCATGTATTACATAGTACGTACGGGAAACCAGAGACTGTGTTGATCGTCTCCACCACGTTGAACAAAGCACACCACGCAGAAGGGGCAAGATGACTCAATCGGCCGGAGCGCGAATTTATCAACCGGAAGGTCCGTCACCACGTTGAAGCACACCACGCAGAAGGGGCAAGATGACTCAATCGGCCGGAGCGCGAATTTATCAACCGGAAGGTCCGCGGTTCGAACGAACTCACTGCATCTCAACTTCCCCTGTTTGAGCAAACTGGCAGTATCCCAACCTTCGTGCTTCCTACGGTGACTATTAGGCACCAAAAAGGTGCTACAAGTGAATGATATTTTATGTTATATCTATACATA